GCATACAAGGTTGAGAACCACCCTTGAAGAGCAGTGGTTCTTCAAGCGTGGTTCCCAGACTAGCCACTTCAACCTCCCCTGCAAACTGGCTAGAAATGCAAATGTTCTGCCCCTACTCCAGACCTACTAACATGCAGCAGCATAACATTTCACCTCCAGTCTTCTCTCTCTAAACCAAAAGGGCAGAGTTCTTCAGGTGAATAAACTAACTCCTTAAGGTTTTCTTTAGTAATGGGGTGTTTGTTGGAAGTATTCATACACAAATAAGAGGGATCTTGACAGGCTTCATTGAGACTGGCTAGTTCTGAGACATAACAGACATATGGATCTCGTAGCAGCTCCCGTGACTCCGTGGCAGCTCCCGTGACTCCGTGGCAGCCCTAGCAGTTGCTGCCTCCTGAGTATTTCTGTATGGAACCCTAGCATTCCATTAGAGTGCCTTAGCTCTTCTGTCATTTCATTTCTCTTTATACAAACTGAATTCTTCCCCCCTTACCTTCTCGGGGTTGAGGGAGGGAGGAAGGATAACCATAGAACTTTTATGCATATATGCATAACCTATGGACACAGACAATAATGTGGTGAAGGCCTGGGGTGGGGTGGGTGCTGGGTAGAGGCGGTCAATGGGAAATACTTTCAACAATAAAGATATATTTTTAAAAATTTAAATAAAGATATCGGCAACTCTGATCGGTGCAGTTAATCACCTTCTCATTTGGGCAGTGTTTCCTTAACATTTGTCCAACTTATAAGCTTCTAGCTGAGGTAAAGATGAGCTTTCCTTGGGTCAGCTCTCCCACCAACCCAATCAGTTGGGAGCAGGGGAAAATGAAATTTGGAGTGTAAAGAATCTCCTAGGGCCATTTCTTTTGAAAGAGGAGCCTTCTAATGTGGGTTGTGGGTGTCACCATGTAAGGCTTGTTTCTTAGGGATCGTCATCTGTTCTCTGATGCTTAAATCTGTGTGTAGTTCTTCGATACAAATACATCAAAGAGAATATATGCATTTGTTCAACTACAATGAAACAGGAATTTTGGGGAGTGAAAAAGACAGGTTTTAGGAAATTTTTAAGATGTTAGCAATTAAGGGGATGATGGAGGAAGCACAGGGCTGCAGAGCAGCAGCAGGTATGTTTCCATGGAACAGGGGAGCTGAAAAGCTGCAACAGGTACATTTCCTAGAATGAGGGAGCTGGGAACAGCCAAAGGTCTACTAGCATATTTACAAAATAAAGAGAAGGCAGCCCTTCATCCAGAAGAAGAAGAAGAGAGCCCAAAAGGAATAAGAAAACAATAAGGAAGGAGGAGGAGGGGAGAAACTCACATGTCCCATGTGAGGTTTGACCTTTGAGCTCAAGAGTTACGGTGGTAATCAGTCTAGCAGGGGTCTTCAAACTATGGCCCGCGGGCCACATGCGGCTGGCAGAGGAGTCTGATCCGGCCCGCCAGGTTTTTTGGGCAGTGAGCGCAGCCGAGGTGTTACAGTAGGAATTAGTAGTTCATATAGTCCGGCCCTCCAGCTCTCTGAGGGACCGTGATCTGGCCCCCACTTTAAAAAGTTTGAGGACCCCTGGAAGGGGATAGTGACCAATCGGAGGGGAGGGATATCAAGGCACCAAGATCTGCAGCCTTTATAAGCCACAGGGAAAAGGATTCCCAGTGGGACCCTTTCCCCCTTCCCACGTGGGAGTCCATTCTGTGGGACTCTTTCCCTCCCCATGTGGGAGTCTGTACTTGTTCTTCAATAAATTTCCTCCTTCTCTATCTGTCCGTGGACTCATTCTTCGGCTCTGGTGGACAAAGAATCTGGGTTCCAGTCCAAAAATTCCATTTCAATAACTTTTGGAATGAGTTGCAAACTTTCGCTGAAAAATTTTGGAAATGTTTCTCTTTTCATTTCAACATTTCCTATAGGAACATCCTCTTGTGGCCCAATTTAGGAATGCCATGAGCCAAATTATTTTGGAAAAAGAGATCTAATTTGCATGCCCCAAATAGTAGGGTCTATATTTTATGCAGAAATTCTCTTTGCATAATCTCATTCACTAAAGCCTGAGTGACTAGAAGCTGCTGGCATTTTTAAAAACCTCATTTACCAAAGATTAAAAAAAAAAAAAAAAAAGCTCAAGTGGACAATTTTCTCCAGGTCATTTCAGATCGGCAGTCTAAGCTCTCGTTTCTTAAGCGATTTGATCTCACTATATTATGCTAAATTGAAAAACTGTAAACGTGCAATCCAAATCAAAAGGCCAGCTAACCTGGTGGTCGGCAAACCACAGTTCTCGAGCCACATGCAGCTCTTTGGCCCCTTGAGTGTAGCTGTTCCACAAAATACCACAGCCTGGGCAAGTCTATTTTGAAGAAGTGGCATTAGAAGTTTAAAAAATGTGGCTCTCAAAAGAAATGTTAATCGTTGTACTGTTTATATTTGGCTCTGCTGACTGATGAGTTTGCTGACCACTGAACTAACCTTTGAGGAAGTCTGAGATAAAAAACCTTAATGATGCCACAGTTCACTGAACATCCCGAATCATTTTTTTTTTTTAAATCCTCCCCTGAGAATATTTTCCCACTGATTTTTAGAGCAGGTGAAAGAGACGAGGGGTGGGGGGAGGTAGAAACATCAATGTGAGAAAGACACATTAATTAATTGCCTCCTGTATACGCCCTGACTGGATCCAGGGATAGAGCTTGCAACTAGGTACTGCTCTTGACTAGAATACTCGGGACCCTTCAGTCTGCAGGCTAATGCTCTATCCACTAAGCCAAACCCGCTAGGGGTCACTTTACCTATCTTAATGCCAAAATTAAGTTTGTACTTTACCCAGAATCTCATAAAACCCTTTTACATGGTACCAGTATTGCCATTATTTTTATTTTAGACCACTAAAGACTGCAATACTACTTTGAATTCCAAATAATAAATTTCAGCTACCAGAATTTAAAACAATTAAAACCAATTTAATTTAATTTTCTCATTGTCGTTAATAACAAAAGGTATTTACAGAACAGAGCTCCTATTTACATTTTGAATTGTTTCAAATGGTATCCAATTAAAGACTGACTTAAGGTTTTCAAACTTGGATTTTAGATGTTTTCTTTCTCTTGAAAGGACAAAGATCCTGAACCCTGAGCTAATGTCTTGTTTTTATTTTATTAAAGTAAAATGTGCTTCTGAAAAGAATTGGGTAAAAAAAGTATTATCCAACATGCTTCTAATAAAGATCATGAGCTTACAAATTCTTTTGTGTTTGCAGATGTTAGTTGTTGAAGTTGGGAGTTTCAGGTTTTGGCAGTTTTAGCAATGCTTGCACACACTTTATTTTTACTAAGCCCATTTATCTCAAAACCATAGCCTAGAAACTCTTGAATAAAACTCTAGAAACTCTTGAATAAAACAGTTGTTTGCTTGTAGTGAGATGAATTAAAAAACTGAAGTTTCTAATAATTAAGTGTCTGACGAAGGAAGTATTCCCTCATGATTTCAATCACGAGGAAAAACAATGTATTTTAATTGTGCCACTTAATAGGCTGCAGTTAAATGTTTTCAAATTGCATTTAAAGATATAGCATTATTAACCCAAGTGCTTTATCTGGTAAATTTCCTCCACCTTCTAGAAGTTAAATTATCTTGGTAAAATGAGTCAAACCTCAGAACTTTACCATCACAAAAAATGTACAAGTTGGAATATATATTCTATGGGAAGTCTATTACAACTTTTAATTTAAGAAAGTGTTCAATGAAATGTTGGACAATTTAAAAAAGACAAGTAGATAAAAGCGTAATTTTTCTAAGTTTTGCCATTTTATAAAAATAAAAGAAACCCAAAAAGTGCTTTTGTATACTTTTGCATCCTCACTCATACTCTTAAAAGTTAAACCTACCATGGTGAACAACTGCTGGGCAAGTCCTACGAAGGCTAAAAGGAGACACTTTTCTCCTTTTAGAATTTTTGTTTTAATTTTCTGTTTCAATGTAATTACTAGTGTTTAAAGTTTGACCTAGAAGAGAGTAAGTGGCCAGCAGTAGCCGTGGTTTAATTTTCACAAAGATACCAGCAGATGTCAGCAAAACCCAAGGCAGTGCCACGTGCATTTGTGTGGAGGATGTTAAACTCTTGATAGTAGGGAAACTCACAGTGAAATGGAAAATCTCTAATTACCAGAGCCTAATCCACTGAAGACACCTCAGTTTTCTTTTTCAATACATTTAATTGATTTTTTACAGAGAGGAAGAAAAAGGGATAGTTAGAAACATCAATGGGAGAGAATCATTGATCAGCTGCCTCTTGCACACCCCCCACTGGGGATGTGCTGCAACAAAGGTACATGCCCTTGTCAGGAGGAATTGAACCTGGGACCTTTCAGTCTGCAGGCCGATGCTACCCGGTTTCAGCGACACCTGTTTTCTACATTGTTATTTGATTTGCAAATTTCCTTTTTGGGGGATGGCAGCAGTAAGAATAAGAGTCCACAGTGGGAGCTGAGTTTTTGCAAAAGCTCTTGCAAAGAACTGAACTGCTCCGAATTTGTTAAAAAAAAAAAAATCACCTTCAACAAAACAAAGTACACTTTAGACAGTCACCTTTGGTTTAAAAAAAAAAACAACTAACTGGTTTAGAGAATATTTCATTTTGCTCAGGAATTCCAATCCATGTTCAGGAATATACAGTATGCACGCATTTGTGATTACATATTATTTTTCTGGGGAAGAGTTCATAGCTTTCAGCAACTTCTCACAGGGGTCTCTGATATCCAAAAAGTTAAGAACCATGCTAGAACTTACTAAAATTATATTCTCTGTATTAATAAATCACCCCTTATATATGTATATATATATGTATGCTTCAAAATACATCTGCTAAAAATTACTTAGTTGAATCCATGCCAGGCAGTTTTAGAACAGCCTGTTACATTGAACTAGATGTAATATTTTAAAAACAATCGTACATAAAATATTCCAAAACTATTTTCTTATATTTTTAAATGATAGGAGAAAAATCATATGGGATGCCATTTATTTTATTCAAATATACAGTATGCATACATTTTTACTTTTAACATTCGTGGCCAAAACATTGTGTAAGATCAATGTTTGTGGTCTTATATTAACTCCTCCACCAGGAGTAGCATACAACAGAAGTTAAACGTTAACTTTTATTTTTGCTTTTTAAAGGAGTAATAGCATTCTAAAACAATTTAGCCACCTTGACTCATCTGCAAAATGTCAAAAGGGTCTAGATTATTTTATTGTTTTCTGAATTTCTGAAATTAAAAAAAAGTAAGTAGACATGTGACATAAATCAGATATATCGTTCTCTACAAACCTTTTGCATGCTCATTAAAAACTTGGTCCCCTAAATAGGCACAATAAACATATATTAGCCTATGTGTTTTCAAAATATTTTCCCCTTAAAAACTTACCATCTTTGAAAATAACACAAGAGTGTTCTACTAAGCAATGCTGAAGTTAAAATGTTTGAACTTTTTAAAGTCATTAATTTTGTTGAAAAGATATTTCTGTTTTAAACAGTCTCTAAGAAATGCTGTCAGAAATGCAATTAAGGTCTAATGATCCTGGAAATTCAGACAAAATTGGAGTCTATGTTTAAGTCCTTTATAAGAACATATTTCTTTAAAAAAATCTAGTCATTAAGCATATGAAGCTAAAATGTTCTTTTGCCAGTGCTCTGTTGAAATGTTTAAATGAAGGAATTAACTGCACTTTTGATAACTAGGTCAGTGAACAATTATATCTTAAAAATGACTGTTAATATGATGGTTGAAAATGGCATTCCAACAAAGTAAAACTAGTCTTTTAAAAAGATACTAAGAGTACAAAAATAAAAATAAACCTCTATTGGTCAATAAAACTGGCTGTATAAGTTTACAGTTTCAATGGCTAAAAAATATTTCAAGTTGTTTAAATCTCATCTGACTCAACTAAAGTACTATATTTAGGGAAGACAAGACAAAAACCTAGATTAGTGACAGTATCCTAGATGATGAGAGATTTAGAACAGGTAGCTGTTTTAAAAAAAATAAAGAGCAGAGTGAAGTTATCACCCATCCCCATCCTCCAAACAACACCCATACAAATCCCAATTTCCAAATAGTCTCAACAGTGTTTCTCTATTTGTTATTATTATTCCCTTAAGGAGTCTTTTTTTCAGTCCTCTAATTGCAATCAACATCTGTTTATATACTTACATATATTTTTGCTTTATAGACAGAAATAGGATTTTTTTTGGGACAAAGAACACATTTTCACCAAGAATATGGTCTAAATAATGAAAGGTTTAGACATATTAGAACATTTGAAGAGGTTAAGTGGAGAGAAGAAATGGCATATTTTAGTATAGACATGTGGATTATTCCCAAAATGGTTTAGCACTCAACCACTATATCAAAATTAATTTTTCCTAAAGTAGGCATTTTTCGAAGTTAGTACTTGCCTTGCATGTTAGTATAGGATCATAAAAAATGGCCACTTTCTTAATAAACAATGGGGAAAATGATACTTGTTCTGTTCAGTTAAAATATAAATGGAAAAATTATAAAAGCATTTATTTAATACACTGTAACTTGAAACATTAGGAAGATTGAGAATTCATGTTATTTCACTGTAAAAAATTAGTCATTTGAACAGTGCTTGCTTTTTTTAGTCAAATGACTTATACCACAGAAAATAGCCATTCTCCTTTCAGTTTGGCTTAGTTTCTATCATTTCAGCATTTTTACTTTGAATATCACAAAATATTTCTGCAATTTCCTTTAATGTGAAGTTTCTAACATCACTTCCTCCAGGACAAGACCTTTCCTCATTTATGTTGGGAAGTCTGCGGCCACTAAATTTCTCTGGCTGCATATCCAGAGGCTCTAGGTTAAAAAACAGCGCTGTCAACCTTCCTATGATCAGCGACTTCTTCTACAACTCCATTAATGCTCACCTCAAATCTCAATATGTCTGGCATCATTTTTCATTTACTTGCCAGTTCTTTTCATTACCTACTTTTATAAAATGTCACATGTGGGACAAGGAAATATACCTGTATACTTGGCTGTCTAAAAGTGAACTCATTAACAGATGTGCAGTGACCAAACTCCAGCAGAATTTGAGAAGTAATGTGATTGGCCACTAGTCATAAAATACATGTTATTCACAGTGACTACTTCATGTACTTTACTCACGGTTAACATATACTGGTAACTGACATTTTAACTGTACTGTTAGGGAACTGGTGTTATTCAATGAAATCATTGTTAACGGAATTTGTGGCTTTGGGAATTGTGCAAATTGAGGACTGCTTATGCCTTACTTGCTTACATTGCCCCAGAAAGGTTCTAAGTGGCTGCTGAAATAGCCCATCTAAATTTACAATATTAGCGCAGGTTGAGTGCATGTTGAGGTGGTTTTCAAATTTTTGTCATTTGGCAATCAACTTTAAAATGTATTTGAGAATGACAGAATTTTAGAAATAGAGAAAGTACTTTAAAGACCCTACAATGAAATGCTACAAATTATCCAGCATGTTTATTGTGAATTATTTCTCCTCCTTCAATTTCGATTTGCTCATAGAGCCACTTGCGGTCACAGCGGCATTCAGCTCCACATTTGGTGGAACCACAGGCAGGGCAGGCATAGAAACACCCTAAGCAATCTTCATCTAGGCAGTCGCAGAGGTCCATTCCGCTGAAAATCAGGAGACCCTGGCTATCATAGACCTTACTCTTTGCTGGTATCACTTGTCTGAAAAATAAACACAGGCGAATTACACCTCACAAATACATTACTTTTTGAATATTTCATTGAAAATAAGGTAATGAAAAAATTTAAGGAGATAAAATATTCTGAATTAGGGATGAAGTCCTATCAAACTGGTATATAACTTACCAGACTCAAAGCTATTCTACAGCTAGCAGTATATGAACTCATCAGAAAAGACTCTACTCTGAAGTATTGAAACAAACACAATAAGCCTAAAATTCTTCTCAAAGTCCATTGAAAAATCAACTCACAAAAGAATGGACAAGCTGAAACTGGTTTGGCTCAGTGGATAGAGCGTCGGCCTGCGGACTGAGGGGGCCCAGGTTCAATTCGGGTCGGGGGCATGTACCTTGGTTGCGGGCACATCCCCGGTGGGGTGTGTGCAAGAGGCAGCTGATCGATGTTTCTCTCTCATCGATGTTTCTGACTTTCTATTCTTCTCCCTCCTGTCTGTAAAAAATCAATAAAAAAAAAATAAAAATAAAAAAGAATGGACAAGAACTTTGTCCAAAAATAGGTATATTTCTGTTAAAACTTCCCTTTTAAGAAAAGGAAAATGGGTAGTTAATAGAGGTACTTTTTGTTGGTTAACAATCTCTTTACTGCTTTGTGAATATAATTTTATTTTTATTACAGTGTACTACCCTATTGGTTTTTATACTCAATTAATCTTTTTCAAGTTCTTTAATGGATTCCAGCAAATCTGGCCTACAAATATTTATATGACTCAACAGAAAACCTTAACAGATAGAATAAATGCAATCTGTAGAAAATTCTGAATTATACTAATATTTAAATCAATTTATGCTTCAGAAATGCTCAATTTAAAAATTCAGATTCTAAACAATTTAGTTTCCTCAGTCATTCTGGTGACTGTACCACAACTTTTCCATTTCAAACCTATAAAGTGTCTCATAAAATTTACTTTCCTGCTCCACTCATACAGCAAATATACCAATTATATAGTATCAATGCTTCAAAAAAATTCAATTAATTTAATTTTAAGAATAATGTTTAAATTATTTTAATTCTCATGCCAAAAATATTATCTGTTCACTTCATTGATATTTCTTAGAAACAAATTTTTTAAGTTGAAAAAGATGTCAATTACTTATGAGGCCTTCAGATGTTCCTACTAATTTAAAATACTATTATCCAATTTAAAATACTAACCCAGATTATCCAATTTAAAATACTAACCCAGAAAATTCAAAACTTAAGAGAAAGATAGGGAGACAATACAGATGTGAGTCAGAAAGTTAGCAGAATTATGACAGAATTAACACACAGCCTACCTGTCTGAACCAGAAGTTACACTTTTTGTAAGCCTTCTTTTTTCTCTTTTACCAGTTTCTGGAGGAAATTCGGTTTGCTTTCCTGGATTTGCAAACTGCAAGGACTTCAAAGCTTTAGCAGTTCTTCCCTGAATAAAGGTAAACAAATTATCAACTTGACATCAGATCATATTACTATTTCACTTACTCTTAATTCAGATTATTTCTTAACCTGGAAGACAGTCTGAAACTCACCAAAAAAAAAAAAAAAAAAAAAAAAAGAAGAAAAAAAGGTTTTAGAGACCACATGTAACAAAATTTACAGCCATGGACCATATTAAAAACTTATTGGTAATTTACATGTAATATTTTCATTACCTAATTTTAATTTCTGGCATAGAGGAGAGAAAGGGGACAGACACAGGAAAACTCAAGTAGCTACTGCCAACGTGGGAGGGAAGTCAGAAAAACTGCTTTATAACCTGAGGTTCCTACCGTGTTTCCCCGAAAATAAGACATCCTCCAAAAATAAGACCTACTTACAGGTTTCCTTCTGAGTGAAATATAAGGCATTCCCCCCAAAAAATAAGGCCCTCCTAGGCTAAACATGAGAGATTTGGTCCACTGATTCTGAAAGAAATGGACTCACAAGAAATTCACCAGGAAATTCAGGAATTTGATTGTTATGATGATGTTCCAAGAAGATGATGACATGATTGTCATTGAATAAATGAGTAAATTCTTGATACTGTAGGATTTACAGTTTGTCTGGTTTGTGTTGACATACCGTATACAGGTAATAAATTTCCTTTATTTTCATTTAACAATAAATGTCTACCGTATTCTTCTTCATGGAAAAATAAGACATCCCCTGAAAATAAGACCTAGCGCATCTTTGGGAGCAAAAATTAATATAAGATATTGTCTTATTTTCGGGGAAACAGGATACTAATGATCCCTTAAGAAAAGTTTCTCTTGTTATTATATGTTTTCAAAAGCAGAGAATAGGGTTTTAAGTCCTGACATGTATTACAGATTTTTGATGGTTAAGAGTTTAAGTTTGTTACTTGGGGGAAACAGCTTTATGTGATACATTCCTCAAGAGCAATCCAAACCCCTTGGGTGATGCTGGAGAGCCAGGGCCCCACTGGGCACCAGGCTTCTAGTGGACAAATGAAGTGGAGAAGACATCTGAGGTGACAGTAGCAAGTCCCTAGTATGAACTGGAAGATACCACTGGGTCCTGGAGATATGCCTCTGGGGGGAGCATCAAGGAAAGCACTACACATAATTTAAATTTTAATTACCTCTTAATTTGGCTTATTAATATAATGAAAAATTATAATTCTTCCCAGCTGCAAGAATTACAAATTAGTTACAAATAAAATCTTAAGCAGTGCTCCTTTGACATACTTGTCCTTGTTCTGTACCAAAGAGAAACAACTTAGGAAATCTTAAGTTGTTTTGATATGGTTAAGGAGTCTTGGGTATATTATGTTATTCCTTTCCCAAACTTACTTTCTTTATCATTCAATCTAGGTCAGAGATTTTCAACTGGTGTACCCCGGCACACTGGTACCCGACTGGTGTACCCTGGTACACATGCAGTACCCAACTATTTAGTCAGGGGAACTGACCTCTTTTCCCTTAGATTGTCAAATAAAGAAATGATAACAGCCAACACAACAATAGCTGTCCAGTGTAAATGAAATAAAAATTATATTTGTATATTTTGTCCATTGGCAAAATATATATATGTGTTGGTGTGCCACAGAGATTTAGAAATTACTTTATGTGTGCTATGAGATAAAAAAGGTTGAAAATCGCTGATCTAGGTATCTAGAAATACTTTAAAACATCCTTCCCCAACTTTACATTCACTGCATGCTGATTAGTATAATCCTATATAATGAAAGCTTAATATGCTAAGGGTCCAGTCATCCATTCAACCAATCAAAGTGTAATATACTAATGATATGCTAAGACCATTCAATTGCTCACTATGATGTGCAGTGACCACTACGGGGCAGATGCTCCAACTGGTAGGTTAGCTTGCTGCTGGGATCTGGCCAATCTATCAGGACTGAGTGAGATGGGCCAGAAAATGCCCTGGAGCTCTCCCATGGTCCCTCCCCACCTGGCCAACCTCCTGTGTCCCTCCCTGGCCCTGATCATGCACCAGAAGGGTCCCTTGGCCTGGCCTGAGCCCTCTAGCAATCTGGAACCCCTTGGGGGATGTCGCAGAGCCGGTTTTGGCCTGATCCTGCCAGCCTGGCCGAGGGACCCCACTGATGCATGAATTCATGCACCAAGCCTCTAGTAAATAACAATGTAAATATGATTTCCTTATAGTTAAACATAACCCCACAGTATAGAAATAACATAGCAGAAAAAATGACTACCATACCTACATCTGAATCAGGTTTTCTTTTCTGCCGGTCTTCAGAATCAACATCCACACTTCCATTAATTATCTGGGTGCATTTTGGACAAAGCTTCCAACCAGGTACAAGCTGTCTGCCAAATTTTGCACTCAGAAAAGTGGCATCATCTAAGTCAATTACATGCAAGTTCTTTTTGGCTAGCTTTTTATGTATGTTAAAGGGGTCACAACATGACTTCTGCAAATCCTCAAATCTTTCAATGTAAATTTTTGCATGATGAAAGCAAATTGTATTGTTCCCAGAAAGTGTCATTCCAGTTCTAAGTTGAAGTAGGAGCATATCATTTGATGATAATTCTTGCAAAGCCTTGAAACCTGTATGACGAGTATAGTAGGTTTTATGGCATTCATTTGTGGTACGAAGCTGAACTCCAACTGAACATGGATCCATCATTCTCGATTTTAGGCAATTTCCTGTTTAATTCTGTCGAGCAACTGACCTCTCTCTAATAAGTGATATGCTGGTCACCCTAAAGAAAATATTAGAGAGAGTCAGATTTGTGCTGTAAATTTTTATCTGGGAAATTGAAAAGGCATTTGATAAAACTCAATACTTGTTTAAAAGAAAGCTCTTAGCAAAAAAAAAAAGGAATAGAAAGGTAGTTACCAAAAAGTCTACAAGAATCATTATTATATTTAATCATGAAACATCAGAAGCATTCCCTCTAAAGTTAGAACTACATAATACCTGCTGTCAGTCACAGCTTCCATTTAACACCATATTAAAAGGTATCAGAATTGAAAGAAACAGGAAATATTACTTAAAGATTATTTAAATATCTACATGGAAAAATATAAGAGGTTTTAGCAAACTATTAGAAGTAGCAAGATAATTTAACTAAGATACTGGACACCAAAAACACTTTAAGATACTTCACAAAACATAAGTCTTAAAAAAAAGACATTAAAGGCTTTTATGGCAAAAATTACCAAACAGAAAGACAAAAATATACTTTTAATAAAAGCTGAAGAAATATGCCTTGGAAAGTCTATAGTAAATATGTCAATTCTCCAGAAATTTATAAATCCAAAACTATTCCAATCAAAATCCCATTAGGTGTTCTGCCTACTTCCTCTTGGAATTTAACAAAATAGTTTACATGGAACGGTAAAGGTCCAAGTGAGCCAAGAGAATCTTGAAGAAAAACAGAGTAAGGCATTTACTATAAAACTATTGTAATGAAAACTGGTATCTGCATAATATAGACAAATCCATGAAAAGAGGACGATGTATAACATATGGTATTATAAATCAGTGGGTATTACACATTAATGGAAGGATTTAATGAAAGATGCTTGGAAAACTGCCTAACCATGTGGAAAAGGGCAGAATAAGATTTCTCTTTCACAAACAAAAATCAATTCCAGTTGGATTAAAGAAGCATGAAAATATATTTACACAAAACCCCAGAAGACTTTGTGATACATTTCGTTTGATATGTGCACTTTTGGTTGAGAAGTTCTTCTGTCCCAGTATCACAAAGTCTTCTTTTTTTTTTGCACACTTTTCAGTACTGTATGTAATTTTTTGAAAAACACTTAAGAATTAAATTGTCTGCACAATTAAACTGTTTTCTAAGAATCCATCCCTTAGGTGTCACTGTGGGGTTAGAATTATTTGCTACTGGTGTTGCCAGATAAAATACAGAATGCTCAGTTAAAGTTAAGCCCACCTGCATGCCTGCCTAATTGCTCCTAACTGCTTCTGCCTGCTAGCCTGATCATCCCCTAATCATTCCACTGCCAGCTTGATTGACGCCCAACTGCTCCCCTGCGGGTCTTGTCCCTTCCAACTGCCCTCCCCTGCAGGCCTGGTGGCCCCCAACTGCCCTACTCTGTCAGCCTGGTCACCCTCAACTGCCCTCCCCTGATAGCCCGGTCGCCTCTAACTGCCCTCCCCTGCTGGCCTCATTGCCCCTTACTACCCTCCCCTGCTGACCTGGTACCCCTAACTGCCCTCCCTTGCTGGCCCAGTCGCCCAACTGCCCTTTCCTGCAGGACCGGTCACCCCAAATGCCCTCTCCTGCCAGTCTGGTCACTCCCAACTTCCCTCCCCTGCTGGCCAGCTTGTGTCCACATGGGGGCAGCCATCTTGTGTTGGAATGATGGTCAATTTGCATATTATCGCTTTGTTATATAGGAAATTTTTTTTTGGCATTTTCTAGTAAGTAGAGATCTTTCTTTGGTGCCAGCTTCAAATTAGGTTCCACCTCTTACCTGTTATTAAAAGAAATCTGAACTTCATATGAACAAATTATAGATACTGCTCAGTTTAAAATGAAATGGTCTGCGGGGAGGGTAGAGAGATATGGGGGAGATAAGAGATCAACTGAAGGACTTGTATGCATGCATATAAGTATAACCAATGGAGAAAAAACTATGGGGAGGGAGGGCATATATGGGAATGGGGGGAGGGATGGGGATTGGTATGGTATGTACACATATAATATCTGAATAAACAAAAAATTAAATAAATAAACAAATAAATAAAAAAGAAAAAAAATGAAATGGTCTGAAAACAATAGTAGAGGGAAGTGCAGATTAAAAAGGAAACTAATTCTTTTTCTTCCCAAAATTTTTAGGGGAAATGTAGTAATACCTTGTTTCCCCGAAAATAAGACAGTGTCTTATATTAATTTTTGCTCCCAAAGATGCGCTAGGTTTATTTTCAGGGGATGTCTTATTTTTCCATGAAGAATACGGTACACATTTATTGTTAAATAAAAATAAAGGAAATTTATTACCTGTTATACGGTATGGTAGTACGGTAGTTGTCAACACAAACCAGACAAATTGTGAATCCTACAGTATTAAGAATTTACTCATTTATTCAATGACAATCATGTCATCATCTTCTGGAACATCATCATAACAACCCAATTCCTGAATTTCCTGGTGAATTTCTTGTGAGTCCATTTCTTTCAGAATCAGTGGACCAAATCTCTCATGTTTAGCAATAGCATTCTGAGACATAGCCTAGGAGGGGCCTTATATTTCACTCAGAAGGAAACCTGTAAGTAGGTCTTATTTTTGGAGGATGTCTTATTTTCGGGGAAACACGGTACTATGTTCCAATATGTTGATTTCTCATTAATACAGCATTTTACTTGACCACTCTCCTATTTAGTGGGAACAGTAGTATTAAGAGGAAATTTAACCAAATAAAAATTTACTGAGTTTTTTAAATTAAGTCAAGAGTCCTCTCTTTCATGAAAAATGTCCTTTGGGGGTAGGGGTGAAGTATAAGTTCTTATTATTTGTCAAGCATTTTCTAAGTCATCTCTTATTTAATGAAAATAAAGTCTTTTCGCCTACCCCTACTATGCACACATAAAAAAGTCATGCCTCTTGTAACTGTCAACTTTTTGTGCCAATTACCTGCAAATATTAACTAGGTACATAACATAGGCATTAACACAGGGACTAAAGAGCCAAGAGAGATAATCTCAATTCTCAAGTAAAGGCCCAGAGCCGGTAAGAAAGGTAAAGAGAATTTAAAACAAATATATAGTCCATACATAGTACCATTTAAAAGATTTTTATTAACAGCTGGTACAGCGATAGCACAGACACTGAAGTACAGGCACTCCATCCTGCCCCTGTAACTTCTATGCTGGGAAAAACTGCTGTTTGAAATTTTAACCCTGCTCTTCTTGGCTTCTGTAAACATGCTTGCTTGCTTAAATGATAGGGAAAATAAGCTCAATTATCTGACCTTGCAAGCCGCTCTGCTGCCATTCCTGGCTACTCCCACACCAGGTGCCCTCAGTTATCTGAAATGTGCTATGCTCAATGTACTATGTACTACTAGTGAGCTGTGCTGTGCTCAGGTTACAAGCTTCCTGCAAAATATCTACAGAGGGCTCTTTGTCAAGCCTATAAAAGGTCCAGAAACCCCATATTTGGGGGACAGAGACCAGTGGGATATAAAGGGAAAGCTCCCTCATTGCTTTGCTCAGACTTCGAGAGACAACTCCTCTGAGACCGCTGGGCTCCAAAATTCGGCTGATTAAGGCGTCCTCTGTTTAGCTGGCTGACTTACAGTGTAACATCATCATCTCATTAATCTTTACAACTCTGAGGTACTATCACCCCCATTTACCGATGAAGAAAGCGACATTTAGAGTTCTAGTTTCCAAGCTAACACAATGGCTATATATCAGAGATATGTTAAGTATTTGCTGAAAAAATTAAAAGCACACACATCCAAATTAAATTTTACTTTATCTGAAGAATCCGTTAATTAGGCTCACCCCACGTACTCCCCTCAGATTTTTTAATGCTCTGTCTAGTGCACTTTCAGATCATTTTTGGAATCCATTTGCAATTTGTCACTATTCCTCTGGTCCTTAAAGGCCAAGGAGAACTAAGTGAAGGGGACTGCAACGACACAAAAGCAGTTTCCAGAGTCATGAGCAAAGCTCTCCTCATTCTACCTTATTCTGATGTCTCCAAGAGTGTCAATCACTGGTTCACGCTATGGATGCTGGGTAAATGACGGTGGAATGGAACTGTAATCTGTTGAAAACATTTTTTTTCTCTCTCACCACTTTGTAGAAAATAAAGTCTGGGCTCTTTAGAATGCCATCATTTGTTCTAAATGCCACAACACTGCCATCAAAACTACACTACCTGCGAAGTTCTTTTCCGTTGTATGCCTTTATCCGGTTCTCTTTGCTTACTCAGAAAGCCTCCCCCTCCCCAGGGTTGGGGGAGGGGGGCAGTTATCTGGGTACGGGGTTCAAGGCCACCATATTTTAATCCTCATCCACCTAACCCCATGGTCGGCAAACTGTGGCTCACGATCCACATGTGGCTCTTTGGCCTCTTGAGTGTGGCTCTTCTGCAAAATACCATGGCCTGGGTGAGTCTATTTTGAAGAAGTGGTGTTAGAAGAAGTTTAAGTTTAAAAAATATGGCTATCCAAAGAAATTTCAATCGTTGTACTGTTGATATTTGGCTCTGTTGACTGGCTTTGAGGGCTCGCAGGCTAATTTTTCCTTCCAGACAGCGCCAGTGTCTCCAGGATCTGCTGAGCCTCACCCCATACCCCTGTTACAGGCCCTCCCTCCTCTGGCTGCACACCTTCCACTGTGAGCGGAGCCACTGTGACTGCTCAGCGGCTAAAAGACAGGAGCTCTATGGTATCACTTTCTTTCTCATCCAGGGGGGAAGAACAACTTCGGGGACTTCTCTTTTCATAGCATCACCACAGGCTTGTTATTAGTTAAGTCCGCCTATTATATATTAAATTCTGTGAGGGCAAGAAATCACCTGGATCCCATGCACAGCTGACTTCTCTAGCACAACACTGACACTTAGGAGACTCTCCATAACGTCTTTTAAACGAATACATGCCCAGAAACTGTACGAATCTCACCCCAAGAAGCCTAAATCTCCCCAAATCGATGTGACTAAGTCCCCAGGATCCTGCAAATCTTCCCACCCCCAGCCCTATGGAGGGCGCAGGCCTAACGGTCCCCCTTCCCATCCCCCCAAGTTCACGGCTCAATCCAAACGTTTCAAGCCCCAGATACCACCTACTCTGCTCCCGGTGCCTACTGGTCCGCCTCCAGCCTCAACCGCACATCCAGGGCTGGGAGGACGCTGATTACAAAGAATAAAAACCAAACAGGACAGACAGACGCTGGGCACGGGGTTCTAGGCCACCCTATTTTAACCCTCATCCACCTAACGTCCTAACCCATCGCTTTGAGGGCTCCGGCATCCGGAAGAGAGGCGGCAACCCGCAGATGCAACCGACGCGGCGGACACCGCGCTGGGCCTGGGCACCGCGGGGCGCCGAGGACCTGGGGCCGGGGATGGGGGATCCGGAGGCTGCAGACCATTCCCCTCCCGCTTCCGGGGCCTCCTCTCCCGTCTCCGTGACCCGGCCCGGGTCCCCCTCCTGTCCAGGGGCCCGTCTCCACGCTCCCGCTCCTTCTTCCCTCCCGCAACCTCCCCCGCGGCCCCCTCCACCTGAGCGCGAGCCCCTCCGCCCGGGCTCGCAGGGAACCTGTGACCACGCACCGCAGCCTCCGCGGACCGCTCCTCCGCGCGGCCCCGCACGACCACCGAGAGGACGGCGAGCGACAGCTAGAGGGGCCCAGCGCGACCATAGAGACTCGGGGGAAGCCTAGAGCGGAAGGGGCCGGGCGCCCCCCCGCGGCGGCAAGGATGGGGCGGCGTCAAGGGGCCAATGATTCAAGGTGAGGCAACAGTTGCATCTTGCGGGGACTTGATGTTGAGGTTTTTAGGGAATTGTTGGGTCGGGGGTGGGGGGTAGGGTGGGGAGGGGGGTGTCTCTTCCCAGGTGCAGGTTTGGAGGTTTGGCTAGCTTGCATTCTGTTCGCAAATCTCCACGCCAGACCGGGGAAGCCAAATATTTGCACCCCGGTCTTTCTCTCCGCGGAGTAGGAGGGTCTTGTGTTATAAAGGACCACAAGAACAGACCCTTTACTTAAGGTCCCACGTTTTATTTCATTAATTTTACTCAAGCTAAAAATATTCCAAAATGCATCTCTTTTAAACTATTTAAAAAAAAATAGCTGATCATTACTTTGAGTACAATAGAGGCTCCAAGTAGATGCTTGTAAATGTTCTGAGGGGAGAAATAACTCTCTTTCTTGAATCTCTAAGGTTTGCCACACTTTAGATACTCATTCATTTTGAAGTGGATTGCATTCATTTAGAATTTTTGAGAGCTCAAGATCCCTTTAACTAAAGGGACTCAGCCTTCCATCATTTTCAGGTGGGAGTAGGAGGGAAAGCCTCCCAGCCCTCCAGTACTGTTTTGTAGCCATCCAAGTGAGAGGGGGGGGGGGGGGGGGGAAGGGGGAAAGTGGGACAGGGAAATAGAGTCCACCAACGCCTGAGCTTGCTAGTAATGCTATACACACCGAAGGTAGCTTGCTCTCTGCAGGGATCCTAGGGCTCTTCCACCACCTCCTTGTTGCTGGGTAAGCAGGCAGGGTTTTGCTACTCACCATATTACACCGGTCTGGAATTGGGGAATGAAAGAAAGGCAACAACAACAGATAATCCGTTCAGCTGTTTCTTCAGGAGATCACATGCAGTAGCTTTTTTAGTAGCTACTTTATGGTTGGCACTTTGCTCAGAGAAAATGAGGCAAAAGAATAAAACTTCTCCCTCCTTTCAAAGAGCTCACAGACCAGAGAGAGAAACAAAAGGAGTAAAGAGCTAACTCCAGTGTGGTATGATAAATGCCATGATGGAAACACAGAATATGAACAAGATAAAATGAGGGTTACCAAGGCAGAGGCATTCGGAGAGGAGATTATTGCTCGAATTGAGCGGTCATATGGAAAACTACCCTGATGCAATGGTGGCTTCCAGGCAAACAACGACTAGGCAAGCTATCCTAGAGGTAATGCAATAGAAGACCCACAGCCCAAATTAGGATGCTTGAATAAAATGGTTTATTGTCTCCGTTTTAATACCTAGTGAAAAGCAAGGGAAAAGAGTAGGAGTACATTGACACATTTAGGATAGGATGCAAACAAGTGGAAGGACAGCATCCGGACTTAAGCAATGTTCATATGTTCCATGGAAGATAGGCTTAGGAGGGCCAGAGTTCAGGTCACAGAAAAGAGGCCCACATGCTTGCTCTGTTGAATAGGTGCAGGGAAACATGGCTGGCCACAACCGGAGCTCACTAATTAGCCTGAACAGACATGGGTTTATTTTCATTAATCAATCAATCAATCAATCAATCAATTATTAATTTTTCAGCTTGAGTACATATGAGATTATACTAGGTGTCACCTCTGGATGAATGATTCGGTGGTGACATAGCTGTCAGCCCAGAGATGGCATAATTATTCATAGCTTAGTTTTTCCACCACCACCATCTCCCAAACCCCCCTCCCCTTTTTTTTTTTTTTTTTTTTTTTTTTTTTTTTTTTTTACTATAAATGTCCCTCTGTTCCATGATATTTTCAACTTATTTTAACTTTGGCATGCCTTATAGTTTACTCACTATGTATATTTAATGGAATTCTGCCTATGTTTCACAAAGTACATGCTTACTCATATTTTCTATATAAAACATCCTATAAATTTTGCATTTATCTCCTAAGCTGCCAGTGTATTTAACACTTTTTCTGACTAACACTTCTTATGACTTTCATCCATCCCTAAGGAAACTGCAAGGAATTCCATGTAGCTGGAGTGGGAAGCTGAGAAAGGTAAGTAGAGGACAGATTATGTCTTTTTATGACCTATTAGAGATACTAAACTTCATTCTGAATGAAGTGGAAAACTGTAAGGGGTATGGAGGATAGGGAAGAGGTACAGTACTGGGCAGGAGAGCCAATATTCTTTTGCCCTAATGAAGAGATTAATAATGATGTCCTTCATCAACTCTGTCTCTGGGGTGATTCCTTTCTCCATCCCTTCCTTAGACATTTAGTAATGTCTGGAAACATGTTTTGTTTTGTTTTTTCAGCTAGGGGGTGCTACTGATATTTAGTGGGGCGAGGACAGGGATCTTGCTAAACATGCTACATTGTGGAAAACAGCCCCTCACAAAAGAATGATCTGGTTTAAAATGTCAATAGTGCCAAGGTTGAAATACTCCAAACTAAGGGAATTAAGAAAGCATAGAGATAGAAGTTAAACAAGCAGGTTTAGTAACTGATTAGATATAGATGTGAGGATGAAGGAGAAAATAATTTTAGGGTCCTGGCTTGGGTAATTCGGGAGGACAAAAGGAGAAATGGGTTATAGAGAATAGAGAGAAGGAATTAAACCTTGGATGTGTTAAATCCAAGACAGCCAAGTGAAGATGCACAATACGCAGTTGGAAAGAAGAGGCAGGTGATGAGAGGAATTAGAGCTGAAGATCCATTTTGGTAAATGTTAGTACTAGATCAGTCTTTACAGATAAGCTTCAAGAAAGAATCTGAGCCCTAGGTGGTTTGGCTCAGTGTACAGACTATAAACCTGCTGACTGAAGGATCCCAGGTTCGATTCCAGTTAAGGGCACATGCCAGGATTGCAGGCTTGATCCCCAGTAGGGGATGTGCAGGAGGCAGCTAATCAATGATTCTCTCTCATCATTGATGTTTCTATCTCTCTCTCCCTCACCCTTCCTCTCTGAAATCAATCAATCAATATATATATATATATATATATATATATATATATATATATATAATTTTTTTTAAAGCATCTTTATTTTTATTTTTATATTTTATTGATTTTTGTACAGAGAGGAAGGGAGAGAGATAGAGAGTTAGAAACATCAATGAGAGAGAGTCATCCATCAGCTGCCTCTTGCACCCCCCCCACTGGGGATATGCCCGCAACCAAGGTACATGCCCTTGACCAGAATCGAACCTGGGACCCTTCAGTCCGCAGACCAACGCTCTACCACTGAGCCAAATCAGCTTCGGCAATAAAAATATATTTTTTAAAAAAAGAAAGAACCTGAGATGTTGGCAAGCAATTACACAATTTTGCAGCATGCTAAAATTTGCAGACAATAGATTTAGATCTCGGAGGAAGTGAGGTAGCCAGAAAACAAAGGCAGAGCCAGGTACCACCTACCAAGGAAAGAAAGAGTTCAAAGCAGGGCTCTAGCAGTAGAGAGAGAGAGGTTACTACAGAACAGTACTGGCCTTTAGATGTATAATGAGACATAAGTAATTGTAATTTTTTTAGTAGTAATACTAGAAAGGTAAAAAGAAATAGGTAAAATTAATTTTATAAATATGTTTTGTTTAACCTAATATATTTAAAACATTATCATTTTACCAGGTAACGAATATAAAATTATAAATAAAGAATGTTATAGCAATTTTTTATACTAAGTTTATTTTAAAATCTGGCATGTATTTTATACCTCTAGCACCTTTCAATTTGGACTAGCCACATTTCAGGTACTCAGTTGCTCCATGTGTATAGTGGCTATCATATTGGATTGCATAATTGTATAAAATCAAGTAAAAAAAGGAGACTAAATTATGTTCTTTAGAGCAATTAAATGGTCAGAGATGGTGTGATAAGAGCCCTTTCAATGAAGTGGAGAAGCCAGCATACAATCAGTTAAAGTGTGGGAAGTTAGAGATAATAGCTACCATAGAAAACTTTTTCAATAGTCTTTACTATTATCACTATAGTATGAAGGTGTTTTTTGTTTTGTTTTTGTTTTGTTTTGTTTTGTTTGAGTATGATTAAGATTAAACAACACAATTCAGTTTTTTAAAATAGTTTTTAACAATTACATTTGGACTTTTGCTTCTGTAGATTGCCCTCCTACCGAAAACAACTATTTATATAAAAGCCTAATATGCAAAGTGTACCCTCGGGAGTTCAACTGGGAGACTGAGAGTTTGATCACTTGCTATGACGTGCACTGACAACCAGGGGATGGTGTGGAGGAAAGAAAGGCCCCAGCCGGCACCTGGCAGCCGGGGAAGGGAGTTCCAGCTGGCAAACTGGAAGGCCCTGATCAGCCCTGATCGCTAACCAGGCCTAGGGACCCTACCTGTGCACGAATTTCATGCACTGGTTTTAGATGTTCTCCAATATCTAGTTTTTAGATATTGGAGAACATCTAAATATAGAATTGTGGTCCTGAAAGAAGAGAAACAACTAAGGTAAGTCCTGCCCTAGCTGGTTTGGCTCAGTGGATAGAGTGTCAGCCTATGGACTGAAGGGTCTTGCGTTTGATTCTAGTCAAGGGCATGTACTTCTTACAGCTTGATCCTCCTGGCCCTGGTCAGAGTGCATGTGATGTGTCTGTCTCACATGGATGTTTCTCTCTGTCCCTTCCCCTCCTTTCCACTCTCTGAAAACCAGTGGGAAAATATCCTAGGGTAAAGAAAAAAAAAAAAAAAAAAATAGGTCTAGTAATAATTAATGTCGTTTTCTAATACCTTTTTTAAATCGAATT